CCTATCACCACACTCATCCCCCCCATCACTCACTTACACACTAACTTATCACTTGGGAGCCCAGAGGGTCCATATGTACAACTATTAGGGAGTTAGGCCCCAAAATACCATACTATAGAAGGAATCGTGTGTCCCAATTCCCTAATGGTTATAAAGGTGGACCCTCTGGGGACCCTAAAGCCTAAAACCCTACAATCAGAAACCCTCAGATGGCTGCACTACTCCTAGTGCCGCCCTCATGGTCCGTAGGAGAGATTTAGGGTTTTAGGACTTAGGGGTTTAGGGGTTTAGGGTTTAGGTTCAGGTGTAGGGTTTAGGGATGTTGTTACACACACACACACATCAAACAAAAGGAACCTTTTTTAGTCATATGATAGCCAGAGAAGTCCTAATGTTGGGAGCTCCTGGTTAACAACATGCTTTCAATCATCATAGCATGTGCACCGTGTCCTGTCCCCAGCATTCCCCCCCTCGCCTCCCTACTTGGTGCTGCCAATGACATCAGCCTGAGAGGGACCAAGTACATACTTGAAATACCCAAAGGGTCCATGTACAAAATAATTAGGTACCTGGGATTTGGGTAAGAAAATCTATAGTATTGGTTTTGGGTAAGTATATGATTATCAGATACTTGGACCCTTAGGGATATATACTTATGCTCGCCAGTACCTGCAAACGAAGCTCTGTAGGCCTCAAGCATTTTCTACATGAGCTAAAGTCTAAACTCCTAGTATCCCCCTTAATCACCCCTATAGTAGTTCTCTATATAATCCCCTATATAACCCCTTTTTAGAAGTTTAGACTTTAGCTCACATAGATACGTGGACCCTTTGGGTAGACAATCAAATCAACCATGCCCTTCAAATCCTGACCTGAGATGAAACGACCACACACAAAGTCGGTTTAGGGTTTAGGGTTTAGGGTCAATGCCAGGCCCCGAACCCTTAACTCCAAGACCTAAATCAACCCTAAGCACTTAACTCTACCAACAGTCGCCCAGCAATCAACCTAGAGCTCCCCAATAACTACCCTAATGGCCCTGACCCCCACAAAACAATAGGCATATGAGCCGTAGTCTAAACTCCTTAAAGGGGGATATGTAAGGGATTATATAGGGGACTACTATAGGGGTTATAAGGGGGATACTAGGAGTTTAGACTAGAGCTCATATAGGCTGTTATTAGGCGTATGTAGGCTATAATTGTGGGTATATAGATACTGTCGGTATATAGGAGGTCCAGGAAGACTGTTACCATGCTCCTAGCCCCTAAACCGTAGACCCTGAACCCTAAACCCTGTAAGGGTTGCAGGGCAGTTCTCAGCTTGTGATTTCATGGCCTCGTCCGAGTAACTGGTAAGGGTTGCGGGGACGTTGCAGTGCCATTTTCCTGTGAGGGGTGGTGAAGTGATTCTCCTCGGGAGCTTGGACCTTGCAATTTTGCGCTCTCCGATGCCTGGACAGAGGAGAAAAGGTCACATATTTAAAAACACACACACAAAAAAAAGCCTAAGCCCTAGACCCTGGACCCTAAACCCTAGACCCTAACCCCTGAACCCCTGGCCAGAAACAGGTCAAGATACCGGAGCATTGGATTCCAAGTTTGTTTCAGGGCCTTGGATGCTCCAGGTAGCCAACTCATCATCCAAGCCCCACTTACACTTGTAAAGCCCTAAGCCCCTAAACCACTAAACCAACAAAACCCTAGACCCCTTAACCCTAAACCCCCAAGCCCTAAACTGCTAAACCCCTACACCCCAAACCCCTAAGCCCTAA